TCATATATAGGGTCTCGAGGTCGAATCAGATGGTTGGCTTAGAACAATCGAGGGACTAAGAACAGCTATGAGAGCTACAATGATGTCTCTTTATAATCAATGATAAGCAATAAATGAAGAACAATAAATAAAACACAATAAATATAGGCAATAAATGGAACTAATGAGAGCAAGAGAATATGTTCTTTTGTATTTAATAATGAGAATCAGATGTCTACAAAGTGACAAGGATCCCTTTTATATATGGAAGGAAATCCCAACATAGTACAAATGCATTTATTACAAAGATATAGGGCTGGTACAGCCTTTTAATTCTATGGTATGGGTGTGGACTAGCCTAATAGACTTTGTCAGCTCTAGTCACGTGCCTTGGGAACCTCACACCGATCCACCGACGCCACTTATTTACCCTGCCTCGAGGCCGACCGTTGCTTACGCTACCTCGAAGTAGATTATTGTGAACCCTCGAGGCTGAAGCCCCGAGTTAATCTTCGAGCCTTCGGGAGGTAGTTTCTTCGAGGCGCCTTTGTGATCGTAAAATCGGACCGCCAGTTTTTGCCGTATCCAATCCAACACAAGAACAATATTATTTTTGAAGGGTCTACACGATATAAATGAGAGTTGCACTAAGCAAACAAGTTAAAGCCGCCGATGTTTATCTTCTAGCTANTTAAAGTAGATACTTATTACGTCTGCAAAAGCAACTAATGAACTGAACCTTTAGTGGGAATGTGGGATCAAAAATGAGTTACAAATTTATAGTATATACCTAGAAGATGACGTTGAACATCTGTGGTAGTTATGTATGGATTGGTTCTTCTTAATTAAACTATGTTAAAGTAAAAAAAGACCAGCTACAAAATAAGTTCTTGAGAATTCAGATTAAAATGCTTTACATAAGCTGTGCCACCGAATCAACGTACGCATGTATAAATCAATGATGCAATTTTATCACCAAATTAGACGGACCCTACCACTAAATTATGCAAAGATAATCCCATTTCTGAAAAGTTGATATTCAGAAGATATCACCAACAAAATTATAAGAAAAATAACCTCACATTTAAAAAAAAAAAAAAAAAAAAAAAAAAAAAAAAAAAAAAAAAAGGTTGGAGCTACCGACATCTTGACAGGGTTAATTTAAGGTAAAAGTTAAAATTGTTGGAGAGGAAAATAGAAAATTTTCAAATATATAAGTAGCAAGGAATTGTTTAGGTCTAGACCTTAGACCTAGTCAATGCCTCCCCAAATAAGTTATTCAATTGACTAGGCCGACTTACTGTAAAATTGCAAAATTACTGGGGAGGAAATTAAAAGTTTTCAAATTTAATAATAGGTCGGTAGTGTTTTGATAGTCAGTGCATCCTTAAATAAGCTAAGTAATTAATTGACTAAGTTGACTTAATCTAAAACTGCAAAATTGTTGGGGAAGAAATGAATCTTCATATTTATAACATGATATTTTAGACCTGGTCAATGACTCCTCAAATAAGCTATTCGATTATCCCATCTTCAAATTCTCTTCCTTCTTCCTTTTTCACAAAGTAATAAAGGAGTAAATAAAGATTTAATGGAATAATTTTGTATGTGCACCAAACAGACTAATTCATTATGATTAAGTAGCAAATTAAACAAAATAAATCATACGTAGAGAAAATGTCATGTACTAGTTGTATTGGTGTATGCATAAGATATAAAAAAAAAACTGTCGAACATAGAATAAGGTAATATATTCAACAAATAAATAATTATCAGATAATATGAGATAAATAATTCAAATAAAACTTAGAAAATTTCAAAACCGCCGCCCAAAAAGGTATAATTTGAACCTATGAATTAAATAATTAATCACATGAATTGCTGATTAGATTATCATTTGGATATAATTGTTGGGATTTAAGTATATTAATCCTTAAAAGAGGGTGAATGAGAAATGGAGAGAAAATGAAATATTTGAGATTCCCTCCTTGATGAAGGAACATTGTCTCATATTGAAAGAGGAAGAGGTTTTTTATGGGTATATAAGCGATTGCTCTTTTTCTAGCTCTTAAAAGGTTGAGAAGAAGGCAAGCATCGCACCGTCGTCGTCACTCGGCTTCGGCTTAATAGTAAAATATTAACAAAAATGTTATTAAATATTTGTTTTAATAACAGAATATTAATATTAAAATAAATATTAATATTAAATCCAACCTATTTTTCTGTTTTAGTAACAGAAAATTAATTACCCTCTTTAATTTTCCCTCTTTATTTTCCTTCTTTATTGTTTGAGTAAATAGCCATTTATGTAATGGCATTTATGTTGTGGCCGTTTTGCATAAGCAGCCATTCTGAAGAGTTGCACCTCTTCAGATTTCAGCCCAACTTTGGCTATAAATACAAGACTATTCTGCTCAGAATTTTCATACGGATTTTCTCAGTTTCTCCTCCTTCTGCATAGTTTAAACATCAAACAAAGCAACAGTAAGTGTGATTTGCTACCGAATTTGTGTTCGCTGAAACACTGGGGTTTGAAATACCACTACACCGTACCAGTGTGTAATTCGTTCTATCCTGGGAGGAAATAATCCATAACCTTGGGTACTAGGAGGTGATTAAATTCCTTAAGGAAACACTGTGAATTCAGTAAGCTCGAATTGGTTTTTGTTATTTCGTTTACATTTCCATTTATGTTTGTTTATATTTTCCAGAATTATTTTATAAATACATATTACTAATAAGCTTGAGGAATTTAATATATTTTACAAATACAGTTTACTAACCATAATAAAAAAGTACCTGCTGATTTTAGTAATGGGTAATTAAAAAAGATTACAAGTATACGTAAACACATTAAGACAAACAAGGGAATCTTGAAATGGGGTCAATGAGAAAGACTAAAGTCCCACAGCTAATGGTGTCCAACGCGTTTTAATAAGGATTCTTTCCGTACATGATCATAATTTTATAATGCACTCAATTCTAGTTTTAGAACTCATTTCATGAATGAATAGCTGTTTGCAATAAGTTATAAAACTACTATTTAAAAAGGAAAAGAAAACACTTTATAAAACTATTTGTTTGAATTGTGACATTTTTGTTGACTGAAATCTCACAATGACGATTAACTAATCTATTATTTTCCCATCTTAGGCATATGACATAAATGATCAACATCTTAAAAATAGTTAAAGATTTTAAAGATTGTATCAAAAAAGTCCTTTTTAAAAATAAAAAATATATTCGTTGTTCAGTTAAACAAATTTGAAGAATGCGTGATGGTATCTAATAGGAAAAAAGTTTATTCGGGCGTAAACCATGTATTTTTAGTAAAACAATTTACTAAATATTTATTGTAAATTAATTATTATTATATATTAATTTGAGATTATAATAAATAAATTTTTTTATGTATTTGACCAAGTAATAACGTTGAACCTAGCAAAGAAAAACAAGTTGAAGATGGAGAGAACGAATCCAATCCTGCCAGGTAAGATTTTATGGGAAATTCTTCTTTGGATAGGTTTGTTTTTAAGTCCATCCAACCCCCTTATTTAACATTCGCCCATGACACCTCCCATCCTATTGAAATCAGGAAAAATACAAAAAAAGTGCTAACAAAATATAGTATAGTAAATTTTTTTTTTCCAAATAGAAAAATCCTTTATTATCTTATCTGATGCTGATACTTCATCAAAATCTTCTCTATTATTTTATTGTTGCATTTAATACATCATCTCATCCCAGATACACATCAAGAGAAAAAAGGATGCCCAATACCATCAAAGCTCAGGGGAGATGAACTTACTATAACACGTGGTCCACTGTCATGATGTGAACACTATCAACTTGACTCATATATCTAACCCCACAACTCATATATATTTCCTAACGTTTCAATTTATTTGAACTTATTTGACTGAGTATGAAATTTAAAGAAAAATAAAAAATTTTGAAATTTGTAACTCTAAACAAGTCAAAAAGGGCCAGAGTGTTTGTGTGGTTATAAAAGTTTCTCATTAAGGGTAGAATTGTAAGTTTAAGCTAAATTATTACCAAATTTAGAAAGGGTACATTCTTTTTGGAACGAAGCAAAAAAGAAATAGGTTCACATAAACTGGAACAGAGGGAGTACAATATTTTGGGATACGAATGATGTTTGGATCAACATGTATACACTTTAATCAATACTTCAATTTATGTGAACCTGTTTGACTGGGTACGGAGTTTAAGGAAAAATGAAGACTTTTTGAATATGTGGTCCAAAACAAGTCAAAAAGAGGTCCAGAGTATTTGTGCGGTTGTAAAAACTTCTCATACTTAAGAGTAGAATTGAAAGTTTAAGCTAAATTGTTTCCAAATTTAAAAAGGGATTATTATTTTTGGAACGAACCAAAAAGAAAATAAGTTTACGTAAACTAAAAAAAATGGAGTATTTAATTTGTTATCTTTTATTTATACAATTACTGAATAACTTTGTCTATGATGGCTCAAAGGGAAAAGGGTGGAGCCACCTTCTTTTAAGGGTTACGCTTGACATCTCTCCGTCCAAAAACTACATTGTGTAGCTAAATATTTTTTATATTATTATATTATTATATACTACAACCCTTGCTTCCGTGAAATTTTCATTCTTAATTTTTTAATTTAGCATGACAAGCAACCTCACACCACAACATACACATATCAGTGTGGCGAAGTCATGAATTTTTGGAAAAGTGGTCAAACTTGAAAGTAATAAAAGAAAAATCAGACAAAAAGATCTTCAATATATGTTATATATCTTTACAACATAATATTTTACCTGTATACTAATGTAATTTTATTGACCACCTTACCAAATTGTAGCTTCACCCATATCACTAACATACAATTTACACCCTCCCCTCTCCCACCCCCACCCCCAAAAAAATTAAACAACAAATATACGTGACCACATACTATTCAAATCCTCCCCCACCCCCATCATCTTTGAATCTTCACTTAAACTTATTGGCTTCTGGTTGACCCACAACACCCACATCTCAATTTCTTCAAAAACCCTAAACAATTTGCATGACCAGTTGTATTTTTTTTCATATAATAAAACATTGATTATTGCAGCCAAAACTTGGGGCAGAGTTTCTTATATATATGTATTCAACGACTTCATCAATCAACAACCCTATTCATACTTCTTTATCTCTCTTTCTCCTCTCTTAACTTTCCTCTTTTTTCTTTTCTTTTTTTTTTCTTTTTTTTTTTTGCAAAATTAACCATATTCTTGAACTTTTACATTCTCATCAAACAAAACAAGAAATTCAATGGACGGAAGTTGTTGCATAGAACAAGAGAGCACAACTAGTGACTCTCTATCATTTGCTCAAGCACTAATATCAACTAGATTATCCCGAATGGGAAGTGGAACTAGCTGCGTGATAATAGACGCAGAATTAAATTGCAGCATAGAAGCAGAATCTAATAAAAAGTTGGCTTCTTCAAGATTTAAAGGAGTTGTCCCTCAACCAAATGGCCGATGGGGCGCACAAATCTACGAAAAACATCAAAGGATTTGGTTAGGTACTTTCAACGATGAAGATGAAGCAGCCAAAGCTTATGATATCGCCGCGCAACGCTTCCGTGGCAAAGACGCCGTCACAAATTTCAAGCCATTGTGTGATAGTGATAAAGTGGAGATTGAAATTTCCTTCTTGAATGCACGTTCTAAGGCTGAAATTGTTGACATGCTTCGTAAACATACGTATAATGACGAACTTGAACATAGCAAGAAAGTCTATAGTTTTGACAAGAATGATAAAAGGGGATGTGAAAATGCCCTAGTGAATTCATTTGATGTGGAAAATATGAGTAAAGCTCGTGAACTAATGTTCGAAAAGGCGGTAACGCCAAGTGATGTGGGAAAGCTTAATAGGCTAGTAATTCCAAAGCAACATGCGGAGAGATACTTCCCTTTGGAAAATAATTCCAAAGGAATGTTATTAAATTTGGAAGATATGAATGGGAAAGTGTGGAGATTTCGATATTCATATTGGAATAGTAGCCAAAGTTATGTGTTGACTAAAGGGTGGAGTCGTTTTGTTAAGGAGAAGAACTTGAAGGCTGGAGATATTGTATGTTTTGGAAGATCTAATGGAGTTGATAAGAAGCTTTATATTGATTTGAAGGCTAGAATATCCAGTACTATTACTCCTATTTTGGATAAAATACAAGTTCAAGTTCAAGTTCAACCTGTAAAAATGGTGAGATTATTTGGAGTGAATATATGCAAAGTACAAGATGTTAATAATATTGTTGTTGAAAATAATATGAGTAGTTGTAGTGGTGGCAAAAGAACGAGGGAGATGGAGTTGTTGGCATTTGAGTGTAGAAAGAAACAAAGGGTTATTGATGTCTTGTGAACACTTAGTATTTTCTTTTGTTTGTCAGTTTTTTCCTTTAATTTCCTTTCTTTTTTGTACTTTAAGCTGGCTTTTAGATGTTCCAATATCTAACTTTCAATTGTACATTAGTATTAGAGAAATAAAAGAATGGCTCAAAAGGAGAGCTCAACTATGGTGAAAACAGAGATGCATGAAAAATGGAAATGGAAATTTAGAGAGAGAAATTTAATTACTTCACATGAATCTCTTATGTTCAAAAATTTGAACTTTCTATATTTCTTTATGTCTTTCAATTTTCAAGAGTTTGTGAAATTTCACGCTTTACTTTTTGTGAATATTGTTGCTTTGCAATCGTATCTTTATGATTACTTGCATACACACGTGTGACTAAGCCAGAAAATTCAATTAGAGTGTTCATTTTGAACACCCTTTGTCAGCAATGGGCTATACAAGGGTGTTCAAAGTCCAATTTTAATCAATAATAAGTAATACTTCTGCCTCTTTGGGCCCGGGAATTATTTGTTTTTGGTTAAGGGACAGTTATAGTAATTTTATTTTATTATAACTTAAAAGCTGCTGCAGATAACCTGTTAAAGTGTAAAAACTACTTTCACTACTGTGTACATCAATTAATTCAATATATTAACCTAATCATAAATTGGAACATTGATTTATCATGTGGAGTAATATGCATGATTCTTCATGATCTTGTTTGCCACGCCCCGAACCTGGGCCTGGACGTAACACGACATTTGGTGCCTGACTACATGTGATCGAGCGAACCAACTGGCTAGCTGAATCAACATGTGATATCATAACATATTGAATACGGAAGATAAACTAACACATGCTGATATACTGAAAGTCTGAATGATATAAATCAAAGTGAGGAAATACTAATACAATTTTGAAACATATTTGTAGCCAACATAGCTTAATATGAAAAGACTGCGACTCTGTCTAACTATTACTCTAGTCTATGAAGCCTCTATTGAAGTACTGAAAACACTAACTATCTGTAAATACTGACAGACTATAAAGTAATGATAATGCCCCGAAAGAACTGGGGATCACCAAATAGCTGGTACGAGAATCCTAGCGCTCTGCATCGTTGACCTGTAAATCATTACCTGCATTGTGAGATGCAGGCCCGGGCAAAAGGGACGTCAGTACATTTGAATTATACTGGTATGTAAAGCAACTGAAAGAAAGAATTATAAATGTTGAAACTGAAACTAAGCTGATAACTGAAATGATAACTATTGAAACTGAAACTGAAGTGAGAACTGGTAATTGAACTGATAACCGAACTGATAACTGATAACTGAACTAATAACTGATAACTGAACTGAATAAAGGAAGTAAGGTTATGAATACTCCCTCTTCTGAATGATGAACAACATGTTTATCTAAATATTAAACTACGGCCTCAGGCCTAATATATATATATGTGCACCAACTGCGGCCTCGGGCCCAAGTATACGTATACATAACTGCGACCTCTGGTCCAAAATGCATAAAGCATAAATTGTGGCCTCAAGCCCAAATACAAGTGTTCAATATTCAGGGATTTAAAGTCAGGAACTAAGAATCATACTGCAATATATGATAATGAAATACAGAATCACACTTAACTACATGATACTGGAATACTGGATCACACTGAGTTACATAATACTAGAATACTGAATAGGACTAGACTGAGACATGTATTCTTGAACTGATTATGATCACTAAAACTTCAATTGTTTATGACATGCTGAGTAAGCTATACTGAAACTTAGGGACATCAAACCCAAGTCTATATTGAATACGAACTGAGCTCACAACGTTCAGAATGATAGTCATGAACGAGTTATGAAGATAGAGAATAAAAGTTCTACAACTATTCAAGGAACTAAGCTTAACTATATTTTTGAGGCAATTGGTAACGTCATAAAAAAAATGTAGTGTAGGGAGAATCATTAAAATTCCCAAACATAGAGAGTTAGCCTCATATACCTTAACTTCCTGCTGTTGAGCATAATACAACATTCGCCAACCCTTTCAATTTTAATCTATATCAATACAAGTTAAAGGGATTCCATATTAGCAATAATACTCGTGTTTTGGTCACTTAGGCATTTTATCAAACACTCGGTGGCATAGCCCTTATTAATGGTGTTTCTACACTCAATAACTCATTCTCTTGCTCATAGATAAATTCTAAAGTCTCAAATGGTTATAAACAACATTATTCTTGATCACCCATAAGGTAATCAACACTCATAACCAATAATAATCAGTCAACAACCCAAACCTATCACCGTTCATGCTTTTCTATCAAACGCATCAACTCATATCTCATGAATAAAGTCTACAATCATTAATCCAATGATAGAATCAATTAGAGGGTGAAGATATTACCTTTTTGACGTTCAATCTTCTTGAATTCGAGTTCTAGGGTTTCTTCTCTCAACAATGGTGTGCCAATCAAATATATAATGATATGGAGGGTTTAACCATGTTAATAAGATGTTAGAAAATTGAAATCGACTTAGAATCACCATTAGAACTTATCTTGGATGGTGGAAGGACCCTTAAGGAGTTAGGTTTTTGAGAGCTTCCCTTTCTAGAGCAAGTATTTATGTTTTGGGGCTGTGGGGGACGAAATATAGCTTTAAAATGACCCCCCCACTAGCGCGCCCGCGCTACTAGAGGCTTTCCCGCGCTAAACGGCAGTAACACTACCTCAAATTAGCACGGACGCGCTAATGGGTGCGCTACCGGCGCGCATATCGCATACTTTTCTGTAAAACACGCATAACGCTTTGCACAGAGATCCGTTCGGACTCCATAATATATCGTTGGAAAGCTATTTCAAAGGTATATAACTTTAATGCTTTGAGTTTTCCTTAATTCCTTACAAATTTCACAAAACACTGATGGAATACAGACCTTCTGCAAACTTAGTCGATTTTGTCAAATCTTATGCACCTCATGCTCCGTCTTGATTCCAAAACAACTATTTTCACCTATAATCATCCCGCTAGGACTTCATATGTATAAAGTATCAAATTAATACCCATTTAACATATCCACATCTATTCCGAATGTACGGAATGTTACATTATCTCCCCCTTGGGATCATTCGTCCTCGAATGATTGTCCTGACTGTAACTTCTGTTAACTTCGAACCTTAAACGGATATGGTAGAATCATGAAATTTCATTAACACTTGCATACTAAACTGAATGAATACTTGATTACTAAACAGTTGCAATACTGAACTGAATGACTACTACATTGACTGAATATTGGTCTGCCATGGATACGTGAATACTAAACTAACATGGATATATGAATATTGAACTGGCACGAATATTTGAGTAATCTAAGTACTAAGCTGGCATGAATGTCTAAGTATTTGACTAACATTAGTAGCTGAGTATTGAGCTGACATGAGTATCTGAGTACTAAACTGACATGAGTATCTGAATATTGAACTGACATGAGTATCCGAATACTGAACTGACATGAATATCTGAGTACTGAAAACTTGAATGTTATAACATGACACGTGAAGTGGTGGCTGTATAGCCACAAATTCTGGTGGTAACTCTAACTCATAAGCTAATTGACCGATCCTTCGCAAGAATCTATATGGCCCAATATAGCAGGGACTGTGCTTCCCCTTCTTCCCAAATCTCATAACGCTTTTCATAAGCGAAACTTTCAGAAACACCCAATCATCAACTTGAAAATCTAGGTCTCTATGTTGCATGCTCGAATAGGACTTTTGGCGACTCTGAGTCGTCTTTAACGCTCTTGAATCAACTTAACTTTCTCTATAGTCTAATAGACCAAATCGGGTCCTAACAACTCCACTTCTCCAACTTCGAACCAACCAATTGGTGATCTATACCTTCGCCCATACAGAGCTTCGTACGGTGCCATCTTGATACTAGAAGGGTAGGTTATTATTAGCAAGGTCAATAAGAGGAATGTGATCATCCCAATTACTTTTAACATCAAGGACATATCCTCAACTGTTTAAATAAAATGCTCTACCTGGTCATAAAGTCTACGATGTTCTTTTTCATGTCGTTCAACCAATAAATCTCCTTGGTCATGATGCATACTTGGGGAACCTGGATAGAAAGAATACCTAGAATCATGGGCTTCTAACATGATCTTCCCTCTTTAAGTCCATCTATGTTTGGAACACACAATCTGTCTTGGTACATCGAAGTACCATCATCTCCCCCTTATTCAAAAGCCATTGTTTTATACTTGTGAATTTCCTCTTCAACTGCAACACGTAGGGATCATCAAAAAAATCCTTCTCTTGGGCTACTAATGGGGAACAAGTCCTGTTCTAGACAACAACTCCGTCATCTTCGGAGTCCGAAGTCAAACTCCTATCTTGGCTGGTGAACTTTTTTTACTAGAGTTCTCTTATCTACCTCAATCATGAGTTATACTTCCCGCACTTTATCTCCTTAAGCACTTCCTGAAAACATTTATAGAATTGTTAAAGTCTATACTCCCAAGATTAGAGTCTCGTGCAATGACACTACCCTCGTGATACATAACTGGGCATGATTTTATAGCTTTTCTGTGATCACTTTATCATCAATAAATAAGCTTAGTGACCATTCTACTCACTTTGTATTTCTTACACATGTTAGACATAATCCCTATGGTAATTATACAAATTTTCCCTCATTACCGAACTGATTTTCTTTTTCATATCCCATGCTACTATTCGAGTTTCTGGTCTCCAACTGGACTTACTGACGATTTTCATATCTCTCCCTCACACCAAAGGTTAAGGTCTTGTACTTGTAGATCATTCTCTTTTGTTGGGATCCGAACAACTTTCTTTAAATTTTCTGCAATTCTTGCACTCTACATCAATGACAATTCATCTTCCAACTTACTTCTGAGAAATATTTCTTACTAGGAAAAACCAAATTATTCACTTAACGAAAAGCTAATGTATTCACAACTATCACACACAATCTTAACAATTTAACTCTGCTCTCACTGTCAATCTTGGGAAGACCCTTTTTCGATAATTCTTAAAGGCTATTCTTCTATAGTTTGTGCTCTCACTGCTAGCTTATTTTTTTCCACTATCGCTGTACTTCGGGTTTAACTTAGACTTTTTGGGTTCTAACACATGTTCGATATTTCAAACTGCCATCCACTCACTAGAGGTAACCTAGCTAAGTGAATCAAATCTCGCCTCTACT